GTACAGTATATTGTCCTCGGTGCGTGTCAGTATTGTGTGACCTGCATTGTCAGCAAGTCTGCAAAATTGTAGTTTTTTTTCTGTCACTTATTATTCAGCATTCTGTTATCTTTTCGAATTTTTTGTAAGGTCTCTTTGAAAGTCCTTCAATGCTTGTTTCTCACAGAACAAGATCCTGAACAGAACCGGCTGCTGTCCAGTTTGCACTGAAAGTGAGTAAGTCTGTTTCAGAGTATCCTCTAACTTTCATTTAATCCTGAACTAGCTTTTAAGTTGACCCTCCCCATAAAATCTAAAAAAATATCAGCACACAATTGTAGAAAAACAACTATTTCTATTAAATGTGTTTTTAAAAAAAAGTCAAGGTCCGTGACTTGTTAATCCAAAAATAAAAAAAAAATAAGAAAAAAATTGTGAAAGCAAACCTTGGTCCTGGGTAGCTTTGGGTGAATATTCTTTATGAATTTTAGTCCAGACTGTGGTTTCCCCTCAGGTCCTTTTACTTTGGCTTCAGACTGCAGAGGAAATCCCCAATGTGGTCTATTTCAGGACTACAAATACCCTATAAATCCCAGTTGTACATAATAAAAAGTTTAGTTTCATTTGGTAAGGCAGACATTTTACCACACACAGATGCTGGCTCCACTTCTGACCGGGTCAAATTGGTGCCACATATTTTAGCATTTTATATAAATAATGTTTTTGCTGCTGGCTGCTAGAGTTCAACAGGCATTGACTCTACCGGTTTAAAAACCTGTACATTTAAATGTCATTAGCCTTTTTGTTATCTTTCCACATTTTTCCAAGTTTTCTTTGTGTTTGCCTCCGTCCCTCTCCAGAACCAGGTGTGTGCACAGTCTTTGGCGACCCGCACTACAACACCTTCGATGGCAGGACCTTCAACTTTCAGGGAACTTGTCAATATGTGCTGACACGTGACTGTGGTGGGATTTCACCTGGAGAACCAGGAAACAACATCAACAGCCCAGACTCCAGCTTCACGGTAGGACGGAGTTAGTTAAAAGTCTTCAATTGGGTACCAGAGTTTAGAAATCTCCATAATCAAAGTTAAATATGAGGGAAATGGGAAAATACTTACCTGTATAGCTTCATGTATACATAATGCAATGAATGACTGTATATTATAGACTATTTAAATGTAAATAATATAGTTTTATAATAAATGGTTGTAGCCTAAGCTTAAATTTGTTGACTTAATTTCAGGTGTTAGTGAAGAATGATGCTCGGCGAACTCGCTCTTTCTCTTGGACTCAGTTTGTTGAGATAAGGCTTGGGTCTCTGATCCTCAGCCTTCACCAGCATTTGACGATCCGAAGGAACGGCACTCGCATCGCCCTGCCCTACCACGGGCCTGGGGTGCACATTGACCTGGATGGATACCTACTCAAGCTCACCACCATTGCTGGTTTGTAATCAAGTTAATCTGTGTTTGCTTACTTCCACACAATGTGTTGTCTTCAAGATGCGTTGTTGGTACCTAACTTTAAATGAGCTGTGTTCCTCACAACTCTGTCACCAGGTCTGGAGATCACATGGGATGGTGACAGTTTTGTAGAAGTTGTAGCAGCTCCACACCTGCGTGGCCGTCTCTGCGGTCTTTGTGGGAACTACAATGGGCACAAGCGCGACGACACCATGGGAGGCGACGGCCAGTTCAAGTTTGACGTGGACGAGTTTGCAGAGTCTTGGCAAGTCGAAGGAAATGAACTTTGCTCCCAGCAACATCCACCTCGCAGGCCGACGTCCCTCCTGTGCCCTGGAAGTGTTAAAGTCAAACTCCGGGCCCACCGGGAATGCCAGAAGATAAAGTCGTGGGAGTTTCAGAAGTGCCATCGTGTGGTTGACTTTGGTTCTTTCTACAAGTGAGAACAATGTTTGGTATTCAAAATGTACAAAACATACCTAACATTATAAGAAAGCAATGCTTTTATTGGTTAATGTGCTTAAGTCCCGCCTCTTGCACAATGACTGCTAGAAAGCGGCAACAGTTCTCCCGCAACCTGGACTATTTATAAGTCCAGTAATAATTCTTTCTCCTGATAGTCCATCACAAAATATCATTAGTTTTTTAGCGACTTTAACTTTTCAACTGAGTAAAGTTACCCTGATAGATACAGTGTGAAGTGCATTTATCCATAGCTACTAATAATCCTGTTCATTAAAACTAAATCAAAAACCTGCTTTTTTACAGGTCGTGTGTGACAGACATGTGTGAGTGTCCTGTCCATAAAAACTGCTACTGTGAGTCCTTCATTGCCTACAGCCGAGCCTGTGAGAGGGAGGGTGTGTCCGTCTTGTGGAAGCCTGACAACGTCTGTATGGGTTAGTGACACAAGCTGCGAAGTCGTGGGCACTGCATGATGCTCCCAGTCTGATTGTTCCCACTCTAAGGGATCCAGTTCTCTTAATGCTCTCCCTTTCCTCCCACCAGCTACCCAGTGTAAACACGACGCTGTGTATGACACCTGCGGCCCAGGATGCACCAAAACCTGTGACAACTGGAATGAGATTGGACCGTGTCATAAGCCCTGTGTGGCCGGTTGCCACTGTCCTGCCAACCTGGTACTGTTTCAGGGACACTGCATCAAACCCACGACCTGCCCTGGACGGTGACCCTTGTTTCTCAGGTGGAAGGGGAGCTAGGTTAGGGATGGTCGTCTGTAGTGTTCAAAGTTGAGGGCGAACTAGCCAAGAAGTAAAGTGTTAAGGACACTAAAAGGTCTCAACTCTGCAGATCAAATGCACCAAGGTACTCAGGGTCCACGCTGTTGCAGAGAAACGTATTGCAGCGGCTTCAGCCTCAGAGATCTGAGCTATGGTGACAGGCTGAAGGGAAACGGACGGGAAGCTGATCGTCACCACAACAATCAGCCTGCGATGTCCTCGTGATATTTGTGATGCCAAATATTGACAGTAGCAGTTTACATCACGGGGGTGCTTTTAGTCTTGAGGAAAAACTGAAATCTCAAGAGAAAACTCAGGGCCCCATCTGAAGATTGAAGACCTCGCATATCTAAGGAACATTCAACTTGTTGCTATGAACCTCCAGGAAAAGGTTTGGACCAGAGGACTCGTATTAGAGCCAACATGGTGCTCAGATTAATGTCATTGTAGAGGAACTCTCTGATGCATCGAGCTGCTCGATTGATCTCTATTCCATCATTTCATACTGTAAGCTAATCAGATTTATATGAGAGACAGGATAGCTTTTATATTATTATTATTGCTCTAATTATTATTTGTTGCAGATGTTAATTTATATATCCCTCGTTGACATGTTGTAGCAAGAGCCAGAATCATGAATATAATTGTTTTAAATGATTTAAAGGGAAACAAAAGCTATTTATGTATTTGTTGTGTATGTTGTGTTACTGTTTGAAGTAAAAATGCCCAAATGTGACTCAGTTGTTGCACCATTGCTGGTAAAAAGTACTGTAATGTATTAATGCTCAATGTACGTGTTGTTTTAGAGCGTGTTCATGTAAACATGTTTCACTTGAAGACAATTATTTAAAACTAGCAATGTAATCTGTTCCTGAAGTTTATTTTTGACTGAAGTTTCTACTCTTTGAAGGGCTGAACATTTTTTACTCCAGATAAAACGTAAAATAAAAATAACGTAATTGGAAGAAAGCAAGGGTCCAATGAAATGAAATAAAAAAGCACATGAATGTGAAAATGAGCAAGAAAATTTAAAGAGACAAAAAATAACTAAAATGAACATCAAAAGGTATGAACGTTTTACATTATAGCAATCATCTGCCAAGTTCTAGCACTTTTAACATTTCGTACGAAAAAAGAAAAAAAACTCACAAAAGCTGCAGGAAGTTCTAACACGGTAAAAGAAAAAAATCTATTATGACCATTGCAGTTTGCAGAAAAATTACTGAGAAGATGCAAGTGTTGCAAAACTATTTTGTATGCACACTAATCTTAAGAAAAATCAACACTTCCATAATAAAATCATTCAACTGTAAACATTTGCAAACTTTTATTAGCTTCAAATTTTTACAAACAATGTTCACATAAAAGCAGAACTCTAAAACAAAAGGAAGACAACCAAAGTGACAAATACAACAAAGTCCAAAAAACAACAAAACTGTGCAGCAAAAATTTGACAGTTTTTAAGAGAAATACTCGAGTGGGAAAACATGCATAAGCGGTTCATCAATGCTGATGTATCGAATCAATACAAGCTGATGTCAAATGGGTAATATCCCATAAATAACTTCATTTTTTGGACGTGCAGCCATTCAGGATCAGCCTAAAGATGGAAGATTTTTATACTTTTAAACCATTATTGTTTCAATTTTAAAACAGTATTTTTTTTATTTTATTTTAATAGTAACAAAGTCAAAATTTTTAACTAAAAATACAGTTAGCTAGTCTTGGGAAGGGTCCTGACTGAACAGAAAAGGAAGTTAAAAGGTGAGTTCTCAAATGCAAAGAAAACTACTTGTTTCTTTTTTTTCTCCCATCCAGGTGTCACTCTCCTTTTGTTAAAAGGAGAGTTCTTCAAGAGGCAACAACTTTCACATCAATGCTTGGATTTTTTTTTTTTTTCAGAGGAAATACAGAGAAGTGAAAGTGAGCAACCATGTGACATTTATTTCAGCTTTTACCATTTATATAATTAAGAAATATTTTTACCAGAATGTCCACATTTTTACACAGTTCAGCCAAAATGTCATCTTTCTAAGCCCCGATGGACAAACTGAAAAAACTGCTAATTTTTTTTACAATCCAAACATCTGCCTGTAAAAACCTGAATCCTGGCATTCACATCAATGTTAGAGTCAAAACCAAATGGACACAGATAGACTGGGAAACAAACAGCACTGAGAACTTTGTGAGAGTTTGTACCACCTGTTTTGTACATAGTATTTATGTTTTGTGCATTCCCCTAAATTTATCTAAAGCTTACTACTAGTTTCCAACTATGATCACAACTCACTCAAATTTAACAGTTACTGTTTTTTTAATTCTCTATTAAAATCAAAGTAGGTATTTAAAATGTCTGGGAAGTCTGAAGCTGCTACTTGTAGAAGTGCAATATTGTACTAAAATACTGTCAAACCAAATGATTACAAAAAACACGAAGTTATCTGCAGACAAAAGGTAAAAGAATTGATATTATTTTTTTATGGTACATTAAAAAGAAAACCATTAAAAGTAAAAACAAATACACACTGAATTTCCTGTGTAACATTCCACATCTTCAATATCATGAGTTCAACTCTTTGGCTTTCTAAAAATACTACATTCACTCTCGTTTCTAAACTTTAAATGCTGTAAGGCCTTGTCAGGTTCTATACTTTAGTAGAAGAAATATACTGAATTTGTTTAAAAAAAACACAAGTTTAACATAAATGACTGCATGAAGTCCTTCAAATCAAAAGCTCTTACTTAACCTTAAATTGTCAGTTGTCGTGTACTGGTTCTGGGTCTTAACTAGTACTGATAATTCTCTACCTAAGATGAGGCAGGTGATTTTATTTGGTAAAAGCAAAAATTAAGCGAAATAACAGGATAGACAGTTTTCTGTCTTGTCCCAGAAGCTGCGGTTTACATTCTTATGGTGCGTTCACACCAAACGCGATTTCAGCATCAGGAGCATCAGGTTTACATGCAAAGTCTATGGTGGACGCGCTTCAATCAGTGTCGGGAAGTGCTGCGGCGCCTCAAGCGCGATTAGAGCAGCGCGATTTGAACGATCTAAGCGTTTGACGTGCTTGATGCTCAAATCGCTGAAGTTAGAAAATCTGAACTTTTGCAGCTCGACGCGCCGCGTCAACCAATCAGAGAGACTCCACTGTGTGACGTAGCGACATATTTCCCGACGGGACAGTTTACTGAATGATGTCCACTAACCTGAAACAGATGGAGAGGAGCTCTTTAGCTGAAATCGAGTGCTGCAGTCGGTGTCCTGACAGAGATATCCTCACCAATGCGTGGCAGCGGCTCATCAGACTGGACTCGGGACAAAAATAGTCCTGAAAGCGAGCTGTGAGCCTCTCCCACAGCTCCTGGGTGATGAAACTCAGAATGTCTCTGAATTATCTGGTGAATTAATTATCTGATGAACGTGACATGCTCTTGCTCTCTGTAAATAAAGCAAAGCCACTTCCTCGTCCGACATTAAACACAGGCCGACAGAGGAGGGAGGGGCGGGGAGGCTCTTGCCGTACGAGCGCTTCAAGAGCTGTCCTGCGTCTGACCTCAAAGTGCACAAACGTTCAACTTGAAGCGTTGGATGCGATTTTGAAGCTGAAATCGCGTTCGGTGTGAACGCAGCATTAGGCTCTGACCTAAGTTTCTTGCCATTTCAGAGAAAATTTGATCCAATCTGAACAGGTTCTGTCTGGTTCTAGATGACAGACAGTTGACCTAAGTGAGTATCTGCTGTAAACAGCACAGCTTTTATAAAAGTAACAGTTCTCTCAGATGTTCGAAACTAAACAAATGCTGAATTCAGAGTCAGAATCATATTGTCATTAAAGTCACTGCTGTCTTGTTCCTTTAATGCTAAATGAGTACATGGTAGTGTTGTTTTACATGAGTCTTTTCTGCCCTCTTGTGGCAGGAAAAGTAATTGCTTCACTCTTGCAAAACATTTTTTTTAACTTTTTCAGTCCAACTTTACCTGGGATCAGTCAGATTTATCAATGTTGTCTCAAAATGTAGAGCCATTAAAAGGGTTTTCAAAGCTGATTAAAATCCTTTATCATCATTTTTATTATGAGAACAGATCAATGCTTAGTTGCTAGGTTTTAGATCAAGTTCACATTTGCTATAAAACACACCAAACATTACCCAGACATTAGCAAAACGAATCAAATAGGTTTGATAAAATAAAGCTTCTGTTGTCAATGAAGATAAAAAAACATTTTTTTAAGATGTTTCTTGTATATTTTGTCATTTGCAGGGTGTTGTTGTAGTTTTCTGACAAAAGGTGAGGAGCACTAAGATGTTCAATTCTTAACCTTACAATTGCAAACAAAGCCATCAATGAATAAATTCTGCAAATAAAACTAGTGTCTTTAAGTACTTAAAATATGTATGAAACCTAAATAGAATCTTCAATCTCAAATTCCTCAAGTAGAACTTTTTTTTTCTTTTACTATACAAAACAAAATATACATCTAATAAAAATACTATCCTAAAGTTTCTGCCTGGCCATCTTTGAGGTTATACTAAAATAAAATGTAAAAAAATAAAGTCAAACCAAAAAATAAAATAAAGCTTAGGTCATCTTTCACAGCAACTGAAGAAATAAATGAAGCAGGAGGAGGAGGATTGTGGAGGACTGACCGGGAGAGTTTAGTTGTCATCACTGTCGCTGCCTGACTCACTGAGCAGAAGATCGTTTCCTGTCGAGACGAGAAACACAGAAAGATGTGAAAGAATACATTTTTAGTATAGAACTACAAGACAAAATAATTAACTTTTACACTTTTTAAAATATCCAGAAACCAAGAGACTAGTGACGGGTATTAGTTCAGTTAGTAACATGACAAAAACATGGATAACTATATCACATGTATTCTAATAGTAAGAAGAAGAATTATAGTGAGTGAACTCCCTCTCATATTTTAACTTGAGACACTTACGGAGCGTGTTCATCAGCTGGTTGTTGCCCTGCTGTCTGTCTCCTCCTCCGTTGGCGATGGGGGTGCGGCTGGGGGAGGTCTGGCTGAGCGGTCGCGGGGCATCGTGCTCCCCGTCGCTGCTGCTGCTGTCGTCGCCGCTCCCAGAGGCGCTGGCCGAATCGGACGAGCTGCTGCTGCCGCTGCTGCTCATCTGCTCGATCACCTCCACCTCCGCTCGCAGCTCTGTTCGCAGCAACAGGAAGTCAGCGAGGTCAGTGTTCGCTTGGTCAATGCCATCATTCCAGACTTACTGATCCAGTTATTCAAATACAGGATGTCAAATAAGTTACTTTTTAAAGGTTCAGGTCTGTGTACAAACACATGGTTTTATGGAACCTGAGTGTGGCTGAATTTCACCTCTTTTGATGTCATCCAGCTGAGGCTCTGGGGAAGGGTTGTCCTTAGATTGGGAGGGGGATGTTTTGATCCCAGTACCGGGCTTGGTTGGGGCTCGGAACTGAGAGCTGGGCTGGGAGGAACGAACTGATTGCTGCTCAATCCGGGCCTGGATCTTACTGCTGCCCTCCGCTCTGCAAATTACAAACACATCACCAAATATTAATGTTTTCTGCTCATGTACCATAAAGAAAACACCATCTTGGTTGTGGTGGTAAAACATTTACCAAGGGTTTTCCTTGTTATAGATCTCTCACCTTGTTTTCTTGACCTGAATGCTGCTGCTGAGCTTCTCCAGTACAAATTCTCCTGTGTCATGATTAATGATGAGCACACAGTCCTTCTGATATGGCCGCTTGTTCCCTTTAAATACTGTCATTGGAGGCGTAGAACCCTGGGAGAATATTGAAAATAATAAATATTGTTTTAGTTAGGGGTGTCCCGATCCGATATTGATATCGGTCCATTTCAGCCAAAAAATGAGTATCGGATTTTATCGACCTGCATAAAAAATGTCCGATATAAGCGCTCCGATATTAGCAGTTCAATCCAGCAGTCCACTGACTCCGCTCCAGTGTTTCTATCCAGCAGCGCTTGGATCCAGCATGCAGCGCTCACGTGATCACAACAACATGCAGCGCTAACAAGTTAGCAAGAATGTCGGCAGAACTTTCTATTTTCATCAGAAACAGAGTTGAAGCTAAGTGCAAAGTTGTCATGCACAAGTTTTCAGAGGGGGAACAGAACCGTGAACGTTTTAAACCGGCACGCTTACAGTTTTGACATCCCGTGGATTAGCTCTGGGATTGATTGACAGAAGAAAGGAGAGCGCAGCTTTTGTTTTGAAATATAAGCGCGACATGATGAGAGCAGTGATAAAAACTGCTCCCTGCAGAAGCGAGAGGCTAATCTCCACATGATGCTCAGAAAATGCAGCAGTAAGAAAAGTAGCTATGAATTTAAATAACTGATTAATTCTTACTATTTATTTTTTGCTCTTGTTATTAGAGTGATGTTTAATCTGTTTACACACTTGTTTGAGTGAAGATTAAGTGCAATGATCACGTTGTTTTAGTTACAGTCAGTAAAACTGGAGCTGTGGACTCTTACCTTTGAACAGACAATAATGTGGGGTTTTGTTTTGTCCCCACCTTCAGTTTTTTCACCATAAAGCAGCACCAGGCTGACAGGTAGTAAAACAATAACCAAAGTGATTTTGAATTGTTATTTTATACTTTAAAATAACATTTTGTTTTTATTATGTTTTATTTTTCAGGGTCTTCTAATTTATTTTATTTATTTTATTAAATTGTAGAATGTTCTTCAGTTTAAAATGTATNATTGTAGAATGTTCTTCAGTTTAAAATGTATGTCATCCATTGGTTAAAAATAAATGGGTCAGTTTTTCTCATACCTACTCTTTTTCACTGTTTGACCTGATCAAGACTTTTCTAAGATTTTACACTACAAAATAGGTAAAAGTGTGTGACTTGTACTGTTATGGTAACGGTCAATATCAGTATCGGTCAATATCGGTATCAGACAATTCTCAAAGTTGTAATATCAGTATCGTATCAGAAGTGAAAAAGTGGTATCGGGACATCCCTATTTTAAACCCAGACCCCACAGCCAAAGTATTTCCAGACGGAGTAATAATAAGTGAGCCAGTAGTGTTCCTGTCTAACCCCAATGCAAACTGCACATCAGCTTAGATGGGACGCATTTAAACATGTTTGAACCCAGAGGAAAAAAGACAAAAAAAAAGACATTTAAAGGGAAAAAAAGCCTGTTTTTAGTGTCAATTTGTTAAATCCAAATTCATTTTTGACCTCCTGGCCAAACAAGATTCACAAATAAAGTAGAGATGTCAAATTATCATGAGAAAATTAGTAGTCCAATCATAATCATAATCCAACTTCTCAGTTAACTCAAACAGGTCTTTTAAGTTTTGTGAAGCCAAATAACACAAATTAGGTCTGGCTTTGTGACACCTGCTTTTCTGAGATTCTTACTGGAATATGAGGTAGGGTTATAGTAACTTCATCTCCTTTCCCAACTTGGAGCTCTCCCTCGCAGCTCGTGTCAATAGAGGCCGGTTTGAAGTCATCTGAAAAAGAAAGCATAAAATAAAAAGTGGGGCATCAGTCAGGTGCTTATTGAATTTTGCTCATTACAGACTTGTGATAATTTATTAAATGCTGGTGTTACACTCTAATCAGGTTAATTAGTATAAGGATCCAAAAAAGCAACCTCAGTAAGCCAAATTCTCCTAATTCCATATTAGTGGAAAATCCAGAACAAGTTGAATCTGTAGAGCCTTTATAAAGGTTTGTAAATACAACATAAACTATGTGCTGATAGAGTAAACAACTGTTACTCAAAACCTCTATGTAGTTAATATACATAAACAGCGTTTTCCTATGAAAGAGTATCATACAACACACACAAAACCTATTTTAAATAAAACAGTAAACTTAGTTTTGTGCTTTCTTATCCTAAAGTGATAATTAGGGCGTGTTCTATAAAATGTTCTAGTCCTATACAAGAAGTTTAAAAATGAACTCAATTCATTTTCTCACAATTAATACTGTTTAGGACCATTTTATGCAACAAGTATTCTAGTTGATGGGAAAAAAATAAGTCGTTTATTTTTTATAATGTTTGTATCGCATTTATAAACTTACAACAATATATAACATTCACATTAGACACATTTATGCGACTTAATAACTTTAAATTAACAGTTTATTTAACTACGTTTCCGTCTCTCACTCACATCTGATAGTGTGAAAAGAAGATTTTGGCCTCTTCTCAAAGCTTTCTCCGAGCTTTAAAACATGTTCCTCTTTATCTAGCTGCGGATTCGTGCTCCCGTTCATGATTCCGTATCTTTAAAAATAGCTTACAATTTACATTTAAATTTAATCCCATGAAGCGCCGAGGTAAATAGGGGGTTACTGGAAAAGAGAGTCTGAATGCAAACAAAGTTAGCTTGCAATGGCTAACATTTAGCAAAACATGGCTTTCGTCATTCGACTCGACTGCGAGTTTCCGGTTTTGGTCCGACGGTCAAATACCACCGACAACAAGCTGGTCGTGCTGTGTTTACTGAGTAAAACAAAATTCTGAAAATACTTAATGATTTGATATAACACTACCATTTAATACTATTGCGGTTTAATGTTACTTTACAATTTAAATTTCAAACAGTTGAGTCTTGGATGTTTATCGCTTGACAAGAATCAAAATGGTAAACGCAACACGGAAGCATTTTGCTAACGAACCAAAAAAACTAAACATGTCACCAGTCATTTCATTTAAAACGTAAATATAAATAAGCAGTTTAATTAACTCATGACTTGTTAAATATATCATGGCTCTGCAAACAAATGAGAAGTGCACCGTTGAATCCAAAGAGGAAGAAGAAGTTCAATCATGCGACCAAACGAAGACTTCCACCGTCAGAGATTTAAGCCAGGAGGAGCTGGACAGACTGAGCAGTGAGCGGACTCTTGTGTCCGAGTTCAAACAGATGAAGTTGGAGAAAGAAGCTCAAAAAAACTGGGACTTGTTTTACAAAAGAAACACGACGAATTTCTTTAAGGACAGACACTGGACCACCAGAGAATTTGACGAGCTCAGAGCATGTCGAGAGGTGAGCAAACAGATTATTCTGAAAAAAGCAAATGAATGACATTTGACAACAACAGGAGAGGAAGTATAAACTGCCTGAGACATTGTGGCATATAAGCTTTTTGTCAAAATAAAAAGTTCTTTACATCTGCTTTCTTTAAAATACCCAGAACGATTTGCTTCTTCGTAGAGTACCAAAATCTCACATGATGTTTGTGAGACTCGTTTAAATGTCTTGTTTTTGTTTCCTGGCTTGTTTGCAGTTTGAGTCCCAGAAGCTGGTTCTGCTGGAGGCTGGCTGTGGGGTTGGAAACTGCATCTTCCCTTTACTGGAGGATGACCTCAACATCTTTGTTTACGCCTGCGATTTCTCACCCCGGGCTGTTGAATTTGTCAAAGTAAGAAATCTACCTGTCGACAGGTGAATGTATTATGCTTAAACGTCAGTGTAGTTTGATTGCATGGGTGTGTGGTGGGTCTTTACTTTCCTAAAATAAAGGATAACATTAAAATGTTGAAAGTACAACTAGCTTACCCTATTTTGTTTTACAGAAAAATCCTCTTTACTGCCCTGAGCGCTGCTGTGCCTTCCAGTGTGACTTAACGAAAGACGATTTGCTGGAAAATGTGCCAGAAAACAACGTGGATGTTGTCACTCTCATATTTGTTCTGTCAGCTGTCCATCCTGATAAGATGAAGCTGGCTTTGGAGAATGTCGGCAAGGTGAACGGATCATTGTAGGATCTTGTAGACTACTTTGATAGGATTGGAAAAAAACTAACATCATTTCCTGTGCATACACATAAATGTAATCTTTGAATTTATGTTTGAAAGATTTCTGTTATTCTGGTTAAAGTTTAAGAAATAATTTCTAACCTCATGTGTAGGCACAAACTAAATCAACTGTATGTGAGATATTTTAGCCAATTTTAAGAAATAATTTCAAACATCTCAACCTGACGTACTTTTATGTGGTCTGAAAAACAAAAAACTATTATCAGAACAGCCCTATTTGTAATACTGACTTTTCCAGCTGTTTTGGTAAGCTTTTAGACAACTGTAATGCAACCGACTTTCAGGTGCTGAAGCCTGGTGGTATAATCCTGTTCAGAGATTATGGCCTGTATGACCATGCCATGCTTCGGTTTAAAGCTGGCAGCAAGCTGGGAGAAAACTTCTACGTTCGCCAGGATGGAACAAGGTCTTACTTCTTTTCTAAAGGTTAGCACATGTACACATGTAAAGTCTTTTTGTGTTTGTTTAGGCAACACAAAAGAGGCTTCAGTAACTAAAATATAGATATTTTAAGATTAAACATTTCTACGCTTTTTGTAACTGTTTTCAGAGTTTCTGGCCAAGCTGTTTGAGGAGGTAGGCTTTGAATCTGTAGCCAACGAGTACGTCTTGAGGGAAACGGTCAACAAGAAGGAGGGTCTTTGTGTTCCGAGGGTCTTCCTACAGAGCAAGTTCGTCAAGAGATCCTGATGTCATTTGAGCTTTACTTTTCAGCTCCCGTGTTTGTAAAGATGTGAGACGACAGAAGACTGAGCTGCGACTGGATGACTGAAAATTTCAATTCTAAATCAAAAAGAAAAAAATTGTATAGGTCTTCTGGACGGGTTCTTCTCTAATGAAACATTTCGTCTCTCCTCCAAGAGACTTCTTCAGTCTGAGAGTTTCAGGCAAAATTCAGGCTTTTAAGCCCTGCTTCCATGTGACTGATACATCACATGGC